AATATTACAATCTAGAAAAAAAATGATAAAAAAGTATAAATCATCAGTTGAATGCTAGTATTTTTTCCTGAATAGTTTTTTGCTAACTTATAGATGTGATTTAGGTCTAGAAATGTAGTAACAATCTATCCTAATTAACTTGAATAAATAATTTACACCATTATCCTGTTTGTTAGTAAAAACATTATGGTTTTCTAACCAAGATCAAAGTGTAGTATCCGCTCGATTCCTGACCCTTCTGAGCTGGAATCTGTTATGGTTACTGATCAAGAAAGCTAAACAGAAAATAGTGTCAGAATGTGAGGAGGTGGTATGAGGTAAGAGGTTGAGAAGCTAGAAAGAAATGAAAAACCAGGTGAATGATGGTATTAGAGATGGTGAAGGAATAGATGAAAAACCAACACACATTTTGGCTGGATATCAATATCAATGACAATGAACAAAAGAGTAAAAGGTAGATAATGATGCAAATGTGCAAAAATTGTGACACATTAAAATTCTTTATGACAAAACAAAAGGAAGATCAGAGGATGCTGTAGAAAATAAATTTCACACACACACACACACACACACACACACACACACACACGTGAGATATATAGTTCTGTACACTCCAATGATGGAGTAAATGATCCATAGCGTGAACATGCTAGGCGTTGCTACTGTGGTTTCCATAACAAGGAAGTTTTTCATGGGTTGAAGTTGCTAGCTCCATGCTCAGTTTTGAATTCAGAGTTGTCTTCCCAAACTGACTGCCAACTAGGACTGGAAAGAAGTGATGGAGCTGATGATACTTGTGCAAAAATGAATGTAATAAACACAACTGGAATTCTAATTTTGCTCATGAATTCCTCGTTTTGAGCCACTAGCCATTATACTACCTGCATATCTATCTATATATAAACAAAGATCATTTACTACAAAAAGCAGTTAACTGGACTATTCCTGGAAGATATGGTTTTTAAGACAATCTGCCTTTGTAATTATAGGGCTCAATATAAAAAACAAAGAAAGAAAGAAATAATAATAAAAAAATTAAGTGGAAAATTTTACAATCAACTGTTCTGAAAAGTGGATGTAATTATGTGAAATTCAGAGTATAGATGTTAACATTTGAAATATATAAGCATGAATAATGAATTGTCAGGGATAAGGAAAAAAATAAGAACTGAAATAATAAATAATCTAGGTTGTCAATAACCAAAGAATTTCCACAGACCCATAAATATACATTTGTTTTTACCTATGTTTTTTTCACAGTGTTATAATAAATGTTAGAGTTGACCTTTTAGCACTTATTGATTCAAACACACTCAGTATCCATTTACAAGGCATCAAATAATTAATAAAATTTCTCATAAAATACTTTATGAAGTGGTGCTGAAAAGTTCTTGGTCTAACACTTCAAAAAAAAACAAAATCTGATATTTGGTCATTTAGTCAGATTTTGGAAAGTAGTTCAGACCAAGAAATTTTAGCCCCACTATAAAAACCCAATGCTTTGATCACCCAATTTATTATTCTATTACCCTCAAAAGCTGTGCATACTGTATAGATGAGACAAATTCATTTTTTATTCAAATATTGGTACAAGACCAACAAGATTTAAATAAATGACAATTTGGCATAGCTGTTGTGTGAATATGGTAATAAGATGTTTATTAAAAAAAAAATACAATCAAGCATTTAATCAATTAGAATGCCCTTCAATAGAAGCAATAGAAAGTATTGAACATTTTTCTTTTTAATCTGAAAGAATTTAAGAATTAAATTCTTCCTTACCTTGACCATCAAGTCAATAATGCAGGGCAGGAGGGGTAAAAACAAAACAAATGCATTATTTATTCTGATAAAGTCTAACAGTTTACCTAGCAATGGAAGAAAATGGGAAATTATTAGAAACTTAAGAATTTAACACTCACATGATATATTGAAAGCAATAGAAACATTAAAAGTATTTCAAGAGGAGTCACTTTAGATTTTGTTAAATGAACATTATCAGTTGGATTCTTTTTCAAAGTTTATAAAAAGTGTTTTAGTATAATTGTAGCATAATTATATAGGTAAGATTTACCAAAAAACTTAAGTTCAGTGTGAATAATTTTTTTTTTTTTGGTTTATCTTTTTTCACATGAACTGTGTGTCTGTTTAAATACATGGATTGTGTATATTATATATATTATTCATACTTACAGTGTATAGGATGCAAACAGATCTTGACATTAAATTTAGGTTGAAAAAATTGCATCTTACACAGATCTAGGTTTTTCAAAGCTTGTCAACCCTTTGTGATTTATTTAAAACCGAAACATTTTGAATTGTAAAAACAATTCTTTTGTTTTTGCAAGTGAATATTGCATTAATAAATTTTTGAGAATAACAATGATTTTTCCAGATACAAGTCCTCCTATTTAACTCATAGTTTGTGGGTAGGGAGGAATAGATGAATGTAACAAACCCGACTGGAATTCAAACTAAAGTCTCCTATTTCTAATTCTGATCCACTATCCATTACACTACCTGCACATCCTTTTATACGCTTAAAAATACAGAAGCTTTAGATAACTGTAATCATAAGCTGAACAGAAGATAAGGCAATAGCAGAATGAATGACTCTTTTGGAATATTATTTCCACAAAAGCAAGGATTTTACTCTTACCATATTATAAATACTAATAGCATCAGCTAACTAAATAACATTTTTTGAATACAATATTAATTTGAAATGTTTTACATTTTTCTCTGTCTTGGTTAGATGCAATGTTTACCTTTTTCAAATGAACATTGTTTTAATTCCATTGATAAATTATGAAAAATATTGGCTTTTTTTTTTTTTTTTTTTTTTTTTTTTTTTTTTGGCGGGGAGTCGGTGCTAAATAAAATAAAATTTTTATTAAATGTTATTGAAATATTTGTTGTTAAGCAGAGAAGTTTCCAATCTTAAAACCAATACTATTTAAAGACACCATCATTCTATCCAGAAAGTAGGCTTGGAAGTTTTAGGAGTTAAGTAGTATATTAATTTCAGCCTACAGGTATCATTATTCTTCTAAATGTATCAATGGTACTGAATCAAAATGAATTTCTTCTAAAAATTGTGAACACTGTATCCAAGATGAAGTCAAGGAAAAAATTAATTTAAAACATTTAAAATTAATAGTTCTTCAGAATTCAGTTGTTTTTATCCAACTGTTAAAGATCAAAATTTTTGAAGGATAAATTTCATAGGAGTTTGCCATTTTTCAATCTTTGTATTAAATTTTTCCAAACTAGTTTTATCATTGATCCAAGTACTATGAGCAGTTTACTGACATATATAGATTACTTGATAATACTATTGTGATTTAGGGAATTAGTAAAAGCTGAAAGTTCTGTACAATAGTCTTAAATACAAAAGAATTTGTTCATAATTAAACCTGAAAAAAAACACAGTCTTCAAAATCCCTGCAAGTAAGATAGGGCTTATCTAGAAATTAAACTGCCAAAGCTTGGAATAAATTAATTCTGAATGGTAATATTAGTCATTTCCTTATAGGGAAACCTTCAGCATTCACTGGCTCTGCATTTACCTCTTAAATCATTAGATCATATTTGGGACTTTATGGTTTAATGTATTGTAACATAGGAAAACAATTGCTATGCGAACTGATGTCTAAAAGTTATATGAACTAGAATTTTGTATACTTCTAATTTTATAAAATCTTTCTTACCATAATTTCCAGGCTTCAAACTTGGTCAGTTTTCAATTTTTTATTATAGATTTGGTTTTCTTTTAATATGGTGTTTTCATAACCCAGAACTCCTTAATCTTCAGGTGTGATACAAAAAAGAAAATGAATACTAATAGGTTGTATCTCCAGTAAGATACCAAAACAGTCCTAGCCAAACCAGAGTAAGCTTAATCATCATCATCATCATCAAAAGTTAATGGAAACAGAAATAATAGCATGACTAAAAACTTTACCATTTTATTTATAATTCTCTAAAGTAATCTTTGCTCAGAGAAACTGCCTTTTTTTTTTTTTTAATAAAGTTTCATTTGTTTAATATTCTTCCTATTTAAATAAAACAATAACTCACTGATTTTCTTTGTTAGGTTTATTACATTTATGCACTAAATTATAACTATTCTTGCATGTATTTTGTGAAGACCCCTCTGAAATGTTTAACACTCTTTCTTGAATGTATGTATTGCCAGCTGTGGAATGCCAGATTGCATGGAATTCTCTAATGAAAAATGCCTTTTTTTTCTTCCTATTAAAGTAATTAATATTTGAAAAATGCTGACTTTATTTCTCTTTAATATATAATATTTACAGCAATTTTATGTTTTACTTGAATCTTTCGTATAAAGTATCTTAATGGCTATAATTTCAGGATTTATTTTTTTTTTTTTTTTTTTTAGAAGTAAAAGCTACAATTTGCCAATTTATTTGCAATATTTTTCATTAATGTTTTCAATCAATATATTATTATTGGAACCTTATTTGTATTTCAGAGTGTTCCATTAATGCAATGATTACCCTTTTGGTAGATTGGCAAAAAACTTGATTCAAAAAGTGGATCCAGTAGTTTATATATGAGAGAGAGATAGTATGGACATAGGAATCAACACTGCATGATGCCTGTCATTTTCATGCTTCAAGTGATATTCAGGCATAAAGCTGCCAGTCAACATGCAGTATTGAGTTCTATATCCAAACACTACCTCCAATATTGAGCACTCTTCTTGAATAACATTTTTTTTCTGTTAACTTTTACTAAATTGGTTCTTGATTTATAAAAATCTCTACCAAATTAAAATTATTGATAACAGCTTAATCCTCAGTGAAAGGTCAGCATTTTTCTTTTGTTTTTTATTTGACTGCCTATCTAAGAGTGACTGGGATTGGGTGGGAATCTTTGTGGGGAAGATGACTAGTTATAATCTTTTGGCCAGCTGTGAATTTCTGCTTTATGACCCATACCCAACTTGCACCTTTTTGGTGACCATCTTGCAGGCAAGAGCTCTTCCACCTCCAAGCATGTTCCTGGTCATCGTGGCTCATCCCACCACCATCACCATAATCAACAACAACTACAACAGCGGCGGCATGGCCGTAGCAGTTCGGACAGCTCACACTCCAGTCTGGGAGGTAACAAACACTGACTCCTACTGCCGAATTGCCTGCTAACATCAATAATCTAACCACCACCACCATTGCTATTGCCATTGCTGTCATCTTGTCCTTTTTTTTTTTTTTTTTTTAATTCACTTACTACTACTACTACTACTACTACTACTACTGACTCTACTGTGGTGCTCTCCCCTTCCCCCACCTTTGTTACTGCTGACAGTCTGCCTTCATATCAGTCAATCATGTTGCCCAAAACATTTGTTGATTTCTGTTTACAGGTGGCAAGATGAGGTATTGAGATGGTTGACCTACAACTACTACCAATGCCATTAGTGCCAAATTTAGCTCCTCCTACTACTACTACTACTACCACTTACACTACTGCATCCCCGTGCTTACTGACTGGTTAAGTTGCAGTAAGGTGCAGTGCAGTACAGTGTGCAGTAGAACTCCACTGCACCTACCTACCCATTTTGTCTTACACATCAGGACTTACAGCTGATACCTACATACACTGCATCACTGACTTTTTATCATTATGGCAACAATAACTTGGCGGTAACTATTTGGATGATTCCAGGACTTTTGAAATCTAGCAAATAGATGTCTACTTTTTTTTTTTTTTTTTTTTTTTTTTTTTCCTACTCCTTGCCCATTTTGACTTTTTCTTCTTTTTTTCTTTACTCTGCTCGCACATTTTTCTTTTTCTTCCTTCATTTAATCTTTTCATGCTTAAATTTTTTCATATTTTTTTTTTAAATATTTTTTTTAAAGATATTTTCCCAAAACTGATGTACTATCACTTTAAAATATTCAAAGCTTCACAAAATTGAAAATAAGGAAGTGTAATAATTAAGACTCTTCTTTATAAGTATGTAACAGAATATCTGTTTTGGTAAGGTATTAATGATAATCAGATGGATTTTGTTTACTCTTTTTTTCAGTTGCTAAGAGAAATATATTGAGAAAGACCATTTTTTTTTTATTTAAACATTTAGTTTCTAATGCTATAATTTATTAAGTAGCTATCATTGTAGCAGTTTTCAATATATTTCAAATTCCTGATCATATTTTACTTTTTGCAACAAAAACCGAATTCTTTTGCAACTGGTTTTATGGAGAATGTAGGTAAATTGTGGCACAGGAGCAAAGTTTTATAAAGAATTGATTTCAAGAAAAGCACTGTTAAAAAAAAAAGGTTAAAAATTTGTTTTAAATTTGCAGTGTGTAGCAATTTTGAGTTTTATTTTAAATGGGAATTTATGACACCAAATTGATATTAAAATTTAAATTTGAAAAAATATGAAACAAGATTTTCTTTTTCTAATGAAGATGATTATTAATTAAAGTATCTTGTTTCAAATATACATAGTGTTCACCTTAAATCTACAGCCTTTGTAGAATGTCATTACCATCAGTCTTTCAACTCCTTAAGTGCACATAATAGAATTGTTTCTTTATTTTTCTGCTGGTTTCATTCACCAAAAAATAACTGGCTGCTTTGAATTTATAAAATGACATCTTATGCCTACTTATAGGTTTTGGCAGTTATTCTTGTAATTTGTTGTCTGTAGGAAAATGACTACCTTCCCACCCACTCCCCACAATATAAGGCATATACGCACATACATTATACAGTGTTACAAAAGCACACTGCATTATATATTTTAGTTTTTCTAATTTTTAAATGAACCAACAGGTCCAGGATACTGGCTTTAAAAGAAAAAGAATATTGATATTCTGAATAACGAGGAGTTGAAAAATGTCTGATCAGTAGTCCTAATCTATGTTACTTTTGTTCTATCAAAATCTTCCACTGGCACACTTATTCAGCACATTTCAAGGTCCCTATTGGAAACCTATTTGTGTGGGCTTCATATAACTACTTTTAATAACTTTAGCAAGGTGGGCAAAAATTTTAAAAGTATGAAGAGTTAATGCAATTGTTTTTCTTTTAAGCATGTATTATGATGCAAAATTAAAATTTTTAACAACATTAAATATAAACAAAATATATATTAAGTATTTACAAATTTTAATTATAAGGCTCTCTCTTTTATTTATGTGTATATATATATATATATATATATATATATATATATGATCTCTACTAAGCTTAGAATCACACAATCCAAATTCATTATCATCTACAAAACAGTTTTATTAACATTTGCTTCACAGCAAAGCAGTCCAAAATGTTATATCTTCTAAATAAGACTATGGTAGATTACTCATTTTGATGCAAAAAAATTTGTGTTCTAAAATAGTTTCTCTTAAATTTTTTTCTTTTTGTGACTTCGTACAACTTCTAAATGATTATAAATGCTGTTAAAAATTTTAAATAGATATTTACAATATGATACATGGTAAAAAAAAAAAATCTTATTGAACTAGGCATTTAAAACAGCTGGGGACCAATGTTTCATCTCTTTTTATTTTACAATATTTTAAAGATGCACTAAAACTTAAGACAAATCTACAAAAATTTGTGATCAAATTGCCTGACACAGCGATGCCTTTTTTTATGAATCTTTTGTACTATGAAAGTTTTAAGATACTATTATTGTTGGCTTAAAAAGTAGAAAAATATTAGAAGAGCTTTAAAAAAAATATAAAAAAATCAAATCTGTTTGTTAAAAAGATTACTGTGAAGGTTCTTCTATTCCACATTGGAATGTTATTTATTTTAGAGATGCCAATCTATAGTATACTTTGTCAGGTGCCCACATTAACCTGTAAATTAGCTTAGAACTTCACTCTAACTACTTTCTTTGTGTGTGTGTGTGAGAGAGAGAGTGATCAGTCTGATTAATTTTCTATTTGCTTCTGCTGCTATGAAAACTAACAAATTTGATATTAATTATATATTCATTGAAACAATCCATCATGATTAGAGATGGCTGTGTTTCATGACTGAATAACTAGCTTCTACAATTTGAAGATAGCTTCACTGATAATTTCTGCAACAATCCAAACCATTCTGGCTTCTGTACACATATGATAAGATGCATTGCAGTTTTCTAAGCTGAAAAAAATATATATAAAACATGTTTGAATGTGTAACGTCACTTGACAGATTAAAAAGAAGACGAAACTATAAATTTACAAGTTGTCCTCTGTGTGCATATGTATATGTTTCTATGGTTACAAATTCTTTGAGTTTCTCCATTTTCTCTCGCCATATCATGAAAGAATGAATGTATCAGTCTGGTCATTGTTTTAGTCTGGAACGGTCATCATTAGATTTCAGTTTTAATCATCAGGTAAATGAATTATTAATTTTACCTACAAAATTGATCTTACATATCAAAATCTACCTTTTACATATATTGGCCTATTTTGTAAAGTTAAGATTAAGAACTTTTATTTATTTTTTTAACTGAACATTTGGCTCAACCTATGCAAACAAAAAATATATATTTTTCAAAGAACAATATGCATGATACTGCTATTTTAAAGCCTTGACTAAGAAGACTAACAGTGTAAAATAAGCAGAGTCTTTAATAATGCAAACTTTGTCTTTTTGTAGTTTTAATAATTAATTTTTATTTTGGGGACAAATTTTTTGTCATTCTTGTTGATATTTCAAGATTTGATTAGCATTTTATTTCATGTGTAACATGTGGGTCAGTTCTGTCACCAAAAAAAAGGACAGGATATAATAGTCAAAACATTGAAATCAAAACAAATGATATAGCAGCATCATAAGCAATATTATCATTAATTAAAATCTCAGGGTTTAGTGTTCATTGTGATGAATAGAGGATTTCATTTCACTTGTGTGTTAGTCTGTATTGAATAATTATTAATAACTGATTTCAGTTTGGCTTTACATAGTATTTTTTTGTTGTTGTTTTTTAGATTACTTCATATAGGAGAATGGAGAGATGCTGTTTTAAAATAGTTAATAGAAAAAATTTATTCTGATATTACATGAATTGTATTGGTTTGTTTTATTTCTTAGTTAATAATATTACTCTGATTTTTTTCAAAACATTCATTGGAATTTATTTAATTCCTGGATAATGTACAGTAATGTTTTTATGAATAGAATATTGAATAATCTATGAACACCTTTTTTTTTCTTCCTCTTATTTTAACTAGTTATATCAGAACTTATGCTACATAAACACAATGAAACAAGTTCAACATCTTAGACTTTCCAAATTTATCAAAACTAATTTAAAAATAGAATCCAACACAACAGGTATTAAATAGCTATACTATAAAACATTAATTTTACTTAAATTGATGGTGCATTGAAAGATTCCTTTTAATTGCAATATTCTTTTCATGTTCCAATACAAATATTTTATCAATAATTTTAACAGACCATGACCAATCACTTGTTAGAATTGCTTCTTATAGAAAAATGCATAATTATACTTGATATTTAAATACAGGAAATAGCTGTCAATACAAATATTTTATTAATAATTTTAATAGAATAGTTATGAAAACAGTTTGTACAAGAAAAATAATTCTTAACCATCATTGCTGATTTTTAATTCAGTTTTGTTAGAGGTATTGAAAAAAAAATTTATAAAAGTGCATCACTTGGGGTATTTTGAATGTTTAAAGAAGTGTAAGTGCATATGAAACCAAACACCAAAAAAAAAAACCTTTTCAGCCATAATTAAATTTAAAATACACAAAAAAATTTTCTGAAATATTTCCTTTTGACATTGCAAACAATACACTCTTCTAAGAGGTATCAAAAATTATTTTAAACATGAAAGTTGATCAATGCAAAAATAATTTAATACTGTTCATATATAGAACATTTATTCATTTATTGTAAGATTCATTTATCAAAGAATAATTTTATCAAAGCCTTATAACTACAACACAAGATAATTTGTCATAAAGTATTTGTGTACCTGAAATGTATGCAAAGGTATATTGCCAAAATTAGCTTACAGGCCATGACCAATTACTTGGTAGAATTGTTTCTTATAGAAAAATGCATAATTATACTTGATATTTTCATACAAGAAATAGCTGTCAATAACTTTGAA